AAAGAAGGAAGCTCAGAGCAAGAAGAAGAGCACAGTTTACTCTTTTATAGTAGAGCAGTAATTGTACTGCAAGGTGAAAGGAAACTGAAGAGCTCAGCTGTACTAGGCAGTGGTCCAAGCTAGGCGGGAGTGCACCAGATCATGACCAAAGGCTTCTCAGACCGAAAACTAACTTTGCAAATTGAAAATGGGCAGAACACACACACACACAAAAGAAAGTGGAGGAAAAGAACAGATTCCTGGTGCAGGTAATGAGCTCAGCCTAAGAAAGAAACCACAGTCATGTTCTCTAAAAACCTGCAAGATAAAAGGCTCTCTGAACTTCTGCTACCAAGCAATGCATCTGGTAGTGGGGATTTGGCAGAGCTTACTGAAACGTAGCAGTGGATGGAACGACAGCACAGGAAGAAAGACTCGTCACCGGCAAGTGCAGTATCAGCTTACAGAACCTCTAAAGGGTATCAGTGGGAGGTGTAAGAAATGTGGTGTGATCACAGAAAGTACTACTCTTCTCAAAATAAAGAAGGTTTGGGTTAGATCATAAGAGATTGAATTCAAGCTATTTAAACAACCAAGAAAACCTGAACATTGTTATTAAGAGATTAATATCACCTCCTTAGTATCATGAAAATAGATAGTTTTCAGACTAGTTGTCTCAAGTCTTCATTGTGGTAAAATATATTATCAATCCAAATATGACAAAAGAAAACTAGAAACTGATATGAGAACTCCTTCCCTTGGCTTTTGTTTGCATTCCACTGTGGTAACGACCCCAGGCCGTTAAGAAGCAAGACCTAAGCCACCACCAGGAACACGCTTCCTTCAGCTGTATCACTATTTAGTTTTGTTTCTTTCCATACTCAGTTTCTTCGTGGATAATCCCATTTCAGAGAAGCGTAGAGACCCATGTTCAAACATGTCCTTTCCATGATCTTATGAGCACTGCAGTCTTGAAAACATCAAGTGAATTATTTAGCAACCAAAGTTAACATTAGGAGAGAGAGTAAAACACTGCTTTCCAAGATGCCCGTGTTTTATTTCACAGCAACACGGTGCAGCCGTTCAGCGCTGACAAGAGACAAAAAGCTGTGCCGTGATAAATTTCAATAAAAGATGATGGTAATATTTGAATTATTTTATAATTAAAGAACATCTTAAAATGCACTAATATATAAGTGCAATATTGTTACTGTTCTGCTCTGGGGCATGCTATTAGACAAGTGATGGCAGTAAAATTAGGTAAGTAATATATTCTTACAGCCATAAAGTTCGCAAATCTTATCTAAAAAGACATGGTTCAAAAACCATGAAAATGCACTGGAAAGCACCAGTGTGCAAGTCTGGAAGGCAGACAGGGTATTGGCAATAACCTAGAAAATGCTTTTGTGTACAGTCCAAGTAATGGTGTTTACAAAATTGACTGCAAGGACTCAGTGCACCTACAAGTTTTTCATTTTAAGTGCACTACAGCTGCAAAGAGTGGAGATGCTGTACTGCAGCTTCCTAATACTATATGTCAGAACTTAGCCAGAAGAAAGCAACAGAGACAGTTCCTGCATCCTAGATTTTAAGACAGGAGGGAAACCCCTTAGCAAAATGGAAGCTATAAATATCACAGAAACATGCAACTACTAAAAGGTCCAGGGTTTTTTCTCCAGCGAAGAGACTTAATATTTATGCCACTATCCATGACATTAAAGGTGTCCCAGATATCATCACCTGACAAAGATAATAAGAAAAAAAATTATGTTTCAGAGAAACAAACAAAAGGAACATTTTAGGCATTGATCAGAACAAGTAGCAAATTAAGTAACTTCCTGCTTTCCAGGTGTTTATTCTGAGAGGCTGGTGGTTGTTAGTGTTGCTACAAGACCACATTAGTCCTCCCACAGAAGGAGCATGCTGAACATGTAATGGCTGAACATGAAAGTAATGGCTGGGAGACTGTTAGTCAGGCCACGAAGAAGCTGAGATGCAGGAGGTAAAAATGAAGGAAGGCACATGAAAGACAGAAGACCTGGCAGGTGAGACACTTCTCCTGAGAAACTGGACTAAACTGACTGAACGCACAGAAGGGGACGGACAAGTAGCTTGTATACAAGTTTACACGTTTCACCTATCCTTTGATCCAACAGTGCAGTAAGTACCAGCATTTTGGGGCTAAAACCTAGCATGTTTTACAGGCACACTCTGCTGGGTCAAAAACCGGCTGGATGGCTGAGCCCAAAGAGTGGTGGTGAATGGAGTTAAATCCAGCTGGAGGCCAGTCACAAGTGGTGTTCCCCAGGGCTCAGTGTTGGGGCCAGTCCTGTTTAACATCTTTATCAGTGATCTGGATGAAGGGACTGAGTGCACCCTCAGTAAATTCACGGATGACACCAAGCTGAGTGAAAGCGTGGATCTGCTTGAGGGTAGGAAGGCTCTACAGAGGGACTTGGACAGGCTGGATCAATGGGCTGCAACCAACTGTATGAGGTTCAACAAGGCCAAGTGCCGGGTCCTGCACTTGGGTCACAACAACCCCATGCAGCACCACAGGCTTGCAGAGAAGAAGCTGGAGAGCTGCCTGGCAGAAAAGGACCTGAGGGTGTTTGACAGCCGGCTGAACATGAGCCAGCAGTGTGCCCAGGTGGCCAAGAAGGCCAATGGCATCCTGGCCTGTATCAGAAACAGTGTGGCTGGTAGGACCAGGGCAGTGATTGTGCCCCTGTACTCAGCACTGGTGAGGCTGCACCTTGAGTACTGTGTCCAGTTTTGGGCCCCTCATTACAAGAAGGACATTGAGTTGCTGAAGCGTGTCCAGAGAAGGGTGAAGGGGCTGGAGAACAAGTCTTATGAGGAGTGGCAGAGGGAACTGGGATTGTTTAGTCTGGAGAAGTGGACGCTGAGGGGAGACCTAATTGCTGTCTACAACTACCTGAAAGGAGGCTGTAGCGAGGCAGGTGTGTGTCTTTTCTCTCAGGTAACTGGTGACAGAACGAGAGGCAATGGCCTTAAGGTGCACCAAGGGAGGTACAGATTGGATGTCAGGAAATACTTCTTCACTGAAAGGGTTCTCAGCAACTGGAATGGGCTCCCTAGGGAGGTGGTTGAGTCACCATCCCTGGAGGTGTTTAAAAGATGGGTAGATGGGGAGCTCGAAGATATGGTTTAGTAGTGGACAGGTATGATTGGACTTGATGATCTCAGAGGTCTTTTCCAACCAGGAGATTCTATGATTCAGCAGGTAAGTTGCCCAAACATGCAACTAAGTGCCTATTGACAAGCACGTCAAGGAAGGCCCACAACTCTTTTTTCTGTGATGGATCCTGAAGAATTTTGGCACTTCATAACGAGCCAGGCTCCTAAAACACTTGAAAGGCAGATTTCAGGAACTAGGTGAATGCACAGCAACATGCTGTTTGTATCTTGAACTTAAGGATGGTTTTATTTTTCTAAGCACATGCACACCACCAGATCAGCAAAAACATACAAAAATGGGTTGTTTCCCTTTTCTCCACTTTTGAAGTACATTCTCCACTGTTTCCATGACTCATGACCCACAGATCACTACATGTTGTATTAACATACCATGTATTTCTTGGGCAACAACTTAACTGTATGTTAAAGCCTGAGTCAAGATTTTATAAGGACTGAGCCTCAGAATTCCTGTAAATTTGTAAACAAACAGAATATGCCATTTTCTATCTCAAAGGCTGTTAAAAATAACAATCATACCTTATTTTAACTTGAAATATATGTTCCAAAAACTAGGCAAATAACTTTGGCTATATATGGATGCAGCTAGCATTTTAAAAGACTGCATGGTATTTAAACAACAGGAGAGGACTGCAACTTCCCATGTTGGTATGTCAGAGTTAATCTCCCACAACTCGACTAAGAGTGAGGTAAAGTTGCATTCATTTGTTAAAAGTATGACCATTAATATTTCAATATTTGCACTGCCACTCAAGGATCAGTCTGGCATTGAGGCTTTGTGCAATGACAATAACTAACATCAGATTATTTTTTTTTTATTATCCTTTGGCTTCCCTAAATCCAAATATTATCATTTGAGCATATTAATGTGAGTTTGCTCTATTCACTCTGGGATTCTCTTGGTCACTGTAATTCCAGCATATCTTTTAGTAGTAACTGGGCTCTTTTCCACGTATTTGCAAGAAGACCATCCTTTCTATACATTCACACAGCTTAACCTAGATGTCACACCATACACTGATTTTTCTCAGTGCTAACCATATTCCTGGTTAATTCTACCTTCATGCAAGCAGATTTTCTCCCAGCAGCACTGGACTCAAGAACACACTCTAAAGGTACTTAGAAGACATGAAATCCAAGAATATTTCTGTACTTTTTGTCTTCCTTACATACACTTTGAAATGGTCTTCTATCCAACTGTTTGCTATGTAATTTTCACACAACAGCCACTCCAAATTCTATTAAAAAAACCCAAATGTATTTATGGTATGAGTGCATTCCTTCACTCTCCTAAAGTTTCATCTAAAATTGACAAAACAACTATGGCTAAAAGCCTTAATTAAATTAAGGTGGAGGAGGACTGGATTACACTATAGACTTTTTAACAGAATAACTTACTTCCTTCATAATTGTCCAGCCCCACCTGAAGGCAGGTCTTAAACTATACAAAAGTCAGGACCTGTACAGATCTCCACTCAAAAATTACTTATTTTAGAATGATAGTTTAGGTCCTCCTCACCCTTTCCTTCCTTTCCCTTCCTCTTTAATTCAAACAAATGAAGACTCTTTCCAAAGATTTTTGGATAGATAGATTTGATCTTAAGGACAGCATAATATCTGTGTGACAACAGTCTAGAACAGACATTTTTTTGTCCACACTAAGCCAAGATGCTAGTTAATTCCTTAATTCTCACAGGGCTTGGACAAACAGCACTGATTTAAAAAGCTGTAAGAAAACCAGAAAATGTGAACTATATTATTAATTACACAAAAAAAAAAGCAGTGTCAATATTCATACTTACAGGCTGAGGCTGTTCCGCAATACAGCAGTTGAAACACAACCAAAACTCACTCATTGTTTAGAGTCTGAAGTGGGAACACGGATGAAAAGCAGGACTCAACCTCCGTAAATCTGTCTCCAGGTAGCAAGTTCTTTAAATAGATTTATTTATAATGGTTCCAATGTGAAAATCTTTTATCTGTTGAGCTCTTCTTCAAAGACAAGTCAGTCCCAGGACAAACAACTTGAAGGCAAAAAGTTATTTTAGAGTCTTCTTTCAGAAGGTTCGTCCCAGCACCACAGAAATGTTACGTATGCTTCTTTGGTCCCTAGCGTTATGTGAACCTGAAGACAGAAGAACATTACATCAAAAGAAAGAATATACAGAATCTCGTGCTCCCAGCCAGCCAGCCACCCACACCAATGATTTCTTAGTAATATCCTGAAGCACAGACTGAGGAGACACTAGCAAACAAGCCATGTGCTTATTTCCAGAGTGACTATGAAAAATGGCATGTACTAGAAATCCATATGAGGCTTACAGTGCAGCTCTAGCTAGATGAAGTGACATGAAGAACTGGTGTCCAATCTTTTGGCAACTATCTCTGATCTAACTTTCAAATGGCATTTTGGAAAATGACAATTGCCCATACACTCCTTTAAATTTCTTAGGTAATTTTGTCTATTGACACTTCATATTTCTCAATGGAAAAGCTACCCAGTCCATTCACAGTGTGAGGTTTAAATAATATTTAACCTCAACTCTGTTGCACAGCTGTTGAGCAAAGACGTGCTTTTCCAAATATCGAAGAAACAAGTAAATCAATTCCTGTACATGGAAAATTTGCAAAATGGCTGGACTTGGTCAACTCAGGGAATTTTCGTTCCACTTTCTCTACTCTCCTGCTTCACTTACAGTTGGCTTCAAAAAGAGAGATTACTTGTAGAGTTTGAAACTGTTTCCTTAAACCTCTAAAATTCCTCATGTGGAACAACTGAGGCTCCAGATTCCAACCATTCCTTTGCTAAAATAATGTTTATTGGTTAATCTCCAACTCAGTTTCTTTCAGTAAGAGTGCAATAAAAATTCCTGTGAAATTTCACCCTGGTCATTTATCTTGCCATCTATCATAGACTTTGACTGCAGAGAAAGTGAGATAATGAGTATTCAGAAGTTTTTACATACATACTCCTTAATAATTCTATATATGACTGCATCCTTCATTTACTACATACAAGCCAAGTTACTGTTCTGTGCAGCCACTACTAGCCAGATACTTTCCAGACTGTTGGCTACGACGCATACATACAGAAATACAGCAGCACCTTTCCTGTACTAAGTCCAAAGTACTTGGGAAGCTTCCCACTTCTTAAATTTTAAGAGACTAACAGAGGCTCTTCAATAAATAAACGCATGCTGCAGTAACACCATCTAAATAGCAAAACCCCACCAAAAGTATGTGTCTCTCTCAGCTCTGAAAAAGCTACTGGTAGTGTTTAAATTAAGTTTATACACCTGTTTGTGGCATTTCTTGCCTGAAAATCAGAATAGGAAGGGGGGAAAAATGCTTTGCTAGCTTCTTCTCTAACACCATACAGAGCAAAGCAATTTTGTTAAACAGAACATCTTGAGGGTAAGAAAAAAACAAAGCCCAAAAATTCCTTTTACATAACCTTTCTTTTGTCAGACTTCAAAAAAAGTATTAGTACAGTACTAATATTACATGTTTTCACCACTTAAAAGAAGATTTTTTTCTATCTCAAAGATTATAATCTAAATCCCATGTATGTGTCAAGAAGCTGCAATAAAACATGGGAATTACCAACCAACAGTGGTAAATCCAAGAATTAAAATAACTTTAAAAGTCTCTAAGGAAGTTCTCACTTCATAATTAGTTAGCTTCACATAATTTTCTCAATTCTTCTGGTTACTGAAGGTTTTATCAACTTTAAATAGCAAGAGCTGGACTAATATAGAAAAGCTTAGTAAGAAAACACTCTTCTCTGTAGTCTCAGAATTTCCATGCTACACAATTATTTTCTAAACTTGATTCAATATGTAACAAAATTGGAACTAAAACATGGTTAACTCCTGTTAAGCATGTAAAAATTGACAATTTTAGTCCAGTAACTGTACACCTTATCTCTCCTTAAAACTTGGTGGTTTTACTTCTGAGAAGATAAGCTCCAAGTTGTTCTGAAATGCAGCAATGCTCACCCAGTGCTAGTTGGTCATATTATAAGAAACTGAGAAAGCAAGTACTCAAAGTTAGAGCATTTTGAAGTCTAATACATTGTAACCTGCCAGAGCTATAAACAGATAAATTCCAGTGGGCTGCTCCTGCAGCGCAAGTGACCCACTATTCTGATTTGCAGCTCCTGAAATTCTGACACTTGTATTATTGCTCCCTCACAATCTCTTTTTGTCCAGATGTAAAATACTAAATTCTTGTTCTCATGGAGGGTTAACTTCCATCCTTGGTTACATTTCTATACAGAAGATGTACATGGAAAGGGCAGGGAAATTCCTCTGTCAACCCATCCCCTCATTTGCTCACTGATGGCTGGCACACTCCCCCAGCTCACTGCGGTGTTAAGCACCATGTGGAGCTGAAGCCCAAGGAACAAATCCAAAGTGTTTGTGCATGCTCCTGTGAGCCTAGAAGGCTCTTCCTGGTTACAGAATACTCAAGGGTGCAGAAGACTTTCTCCACCCAGGCATTGTCAGCATGCAGGACTTGTGCCCTCCAGGACAGAGTTCTCTTTGAAACTGACTCCTGCCCTTAAATCAAAAGCTGCTGAATGACAAAGCTAATCTCGAGACATGCGTAATAGTCTCTGATAAGACATTCATTGTTAAAAATATATTTTATCATCTGTAGCCTGTGTAGTGCCACATTTGCCTTTAATTTCACGGTTTTGTAATCAGTACCAAGCAGTTTTTCAATCTGTTACCTCTTAATTTAAAAAAACAGTGGTGGGAAGACATAGCTGTAAGCCTGGAGAAAACCATCAGTAACTGAACCTCTTAAAAGGCAAACAAATGCTTAGCAGTATTTGTTAGAGCACTGGAATTTTATACACCCCAACTCTGCTATACAAATGATTTTACAGTGGCCAAGGTAATATAAAAGATCAGGTCTAAATCTGCCACACCAAAATGGAAAGAAAAAGCAATTAAACTGAAGGCAAAAAAAGCGTATCAGCACTGTGATGTCAACAGCACCACACTAGGACTTCTCTTACACTGCTGGTTGCTTGTTTAAAGAGCAAGTTGAAACAGGAAAATTCTGCTGTTCTTTCCCAAATTATTGGTTAAAAAGAAAGAAAGAAAGAAAGAAAGAAAGAAAAAAGCATCATACTGACCTAAAGCTATCAGTCACATAATTATGCAGTATCAGCCGACTAGCAACCTTATGAGAAAGTGTTCCTGCAAAGCCTGGACGGCACCTCAAACCTAGCTGCAGTTAATCAGATCCCCAAACATGTGCAATACTTCACAGATAGTTCTCTGCTTCGTTGTAGGATCGTGCTTTTAATACAGTTCTGTTCTCAAGTGTTGCTGCATTTGTCTGTGTAGACTTGCCAGATAAAGAGGACAACAGAGGCTGAAGAACACAGTTCAAGACAACAGCTCCATCACTGGTTTTGCTCTTTACATAGTTTTACAGTGCTCAGAGCGGCAGAACATCATACAGCTCACGTCAAAAAGACAAGGTGCTTATTCTGAACCAGAAAGTTAATCAGTGGTGAATGGTGAGACACATATTTGCTTCTTCCCATTTAAATTTTCTGAACTCTGAATGCAACTTATTTTAGATTGTACAATTCACACTGAAGGAACACACAGGACTGTCATGCTGTCTTTTAAGGCTTCTATACCTCATACATGACTAATTTCATCCCACTTATAGAAATTTTAAGTAGCATGAAGAAATGAAGATATTAAAAAGAATACATTGTTTAAAAGTGAAAACCAATACGGTAATTTTCATTACTGCAAAGTTTATTCCACAGTAGCTGATCTAATGCAAAACACAAGCCTCCTGCTTATTGTTAAATACCAGTCATAAAGGCAGTACATGCAAGCACTGCACTAATGGATAATGGGGGTGGAACACATTCTATTACAGTATGAGCAATTTTCTTATTAAAGCAGTATTAACTTTTCTGTAGGAAATAAACTGAGCAGGAAAGAAGGAAGGGTAAAAAAAAAGAAACCTATCTCCCTTCCAAACTCTTCACGTTTACTGTCAAAAAGTGGGTGAGAAAGCATTTACCTTAGTTGATCCAGACAGGAATATGCTCCTTGCTGTGGAGGGTCAGTTAGAATAAAGCTACTTATTAATTGTATAGCTTAAAAACAGCCTCCTATTTTTAAAGAAACACCTATAAAGTTCCTTTTAAGGGTGAACCCTCTATAACCTTTGACTGCATACTGTTCACTACGGCTTCAAACAGGAAGTGTGGTAACAACGCTCTTTGACAATTAGTTGAAGCAAATAAAACCACAGGAAGAGAAAGAAAATGACTGCAGGTGTTAACATCTGAATTTAACTAGATTTGCTTCAAAGCTCAGACTACTATTTAAGGAGAAGCCAGGGGGAGGGAGAGGGAGGGTTAAAAAAAAGAGGTGAAAAATGCACAAAGTCATTACTAAGTATGACATGCTATGGTATGTCATAACATGACATGACATACCACAACAGGCACATGTATGCACAAAGCCATGGCGAGGACTACTTCTAGATTTTTAATCTCAGGTACTTTATAAGAAAGAAATTTACAATTATTCTTGATATGGAAGTATCAATCCATAAAAGACACTTTTCTTTGTTTTTTGCCTTAAAGGTTCTGAACAGCTATCGTTTGTTTCAATCCTGCAAGCTGAAAGTAGAAAATGATCATTGCAGAGTGTATTTTTAAGACTTTAAAAATATTTTTCACTTTAAATGTCTGTTGTATCCAGAACATTTCCTCTTGATGCTTTGTCACAGTCAAGTGGCAGCAAGAAGGATTGAGGGAGGTGGGAATTAAGGGGTGTCCAAACCAACATAGAGGTTGCGTTGGTGCACA